CTTGCTCAGGGCAGATTGGTGATTTCAGACTTATAATTTGTAATCGTAGAGCCAGTTTTCCTCACGATGCATGTTTAGTTGCCGCTGTATTTATATTTGCTAAGACTATACTTATTTTATAGTTTTATGTTTATTACTTACTGAATTGCCCGGTATATGGCATTAGGCTCACCGCCTATTACACGGGACTCATAACATAAATAGTGAAAAGTGGATGTAACTTTGGTGTGTAACTCTGCCTACTCTTTCGGGGATAAAAGCCGTGATGTTATGTTACGTTACTGAATGACGGTGTCATAAATATTTTTTTAATTATGTTTACAGAGGTGTGGTAGCTGTAACAATGGCGCTCATGTCTTTGGACATCAACCAGTGTCCGGACAAGTACTATGTGCCCAACGCTTTCAAAGGCACCGACAAATGTGACAGAAGCTCCTCATATGTAAGTAGTCGCATTTATTTTCTTATTTACAAAAATATTAATAAATTGGGTGATGGAAACATTAATATAGAAATGAAGTAGTCTGATTAGTATGTTTGCTAACGCTAGTCTCCGGGATGGACATATTTAAACTGTCAAACACCAAGCGGTCACCGGTGACCGCAACCTATTGTTCTATAATTGTGTCTACAAAACCGGTACTCGACGAGTTAAATGATTTTTTTTTTAAACATTGCCCCACACTAGTATTTTCTCCTGTGTCGTGGGTGCGTTTACAAACATACAAGTTCACATACACAATATTTTTTGGTGAAGAGCTAATAAGCGTGGGTAACATATATAGGGTATAATTTGCCTCATTTACCATGTTACCAGTACAGTTTTCTTTATATTTATTAAATTTCGTTAATAAACAAGGCTGAGACACCAGTCGGGGTCGGTCCTGTGGCGCCACCTGCACCCCAGCACAGCACAGGCAACAGTCAAACTGCACCTGGAACAACTGAGGACCTGGCTAGGGACATTATGATTGAGCTGAGGGCCCTTAGGGATAGTGTTAGATCGGTCAATAAAGACATGCGACTGATTAGGGGTGAACTCGCGGATATCCGTTCAAGTATGAGAAACTACCAGGATAGAGTGATAAGGTTAGAGGAACGGGTAGCCGTTCTTGAGGGGCGAGATTATCAATAGAATTATGAATCCTACTCTTTAGAATCTTTAGAATTCTCGAGGCCGATCGCCGCGAGATTTTTTTAGTTGTAGAGAAATTTACTTACGTTTTTACAGTTCCAGTAATGTAAATAATCAACAAATTAAGTGGGTCCTCTCGAATAAAAGTATCGAAATTAGTTATTCATATTTGCACTGTTTCACTACACAATATGAATAACATAGTACGTAGATGCACGCACATAGGTACCGCGCGGCGGGCTAGCCCGTACTAAACAATTTAAATTTTTGGCAAAGTAACTTTGTTTATTTGCTTTATATTAGTGTAGTTGCTTTTTTGTGTTGCTTGCTTTATGTTTTTGTTAATAAGTAATTATTTTATAAGTCATTATCAATGTTTTCTTGCTACTTGTAACCCACTGACCAGTGGGTGAGTAGAATACCAGCGCAAGGCACTGCATTGAACTGGTACCCATTTCAGCACAGACTTGAGACATGTACAAACCATAATAATCATTTATTATGTACTATTACTTCTCTGTGCTTTGAATAAATGTCTTTTCTCTCTTCTCTTCTTTAATTTCAACCTTATAAGAGATACATAAAACCTTCTTTCCAGTGCGTACCAATCTTAGGCCGTGGTTTCGAAGCCGGCGGTTACAAATGCGAGTGTCTACAAGGTTACGAGTACCCATTCGAAGATCCAATCACTTACTACGATGGACAAATTGTTGAGGCTGAGTTCCAGAATATTATTGCTGACAAGGAGACAAGAATCGATATGTTTAAGTGCAGGTTGGCCGGAGCAGCGTCAATACAGAGCAGTGTAATTGTTATATTGACTGTTCTGTTCCTTGTTTTCAAACTAAGATAGTTTTTTAAAGTATTATAGTACTAGCAGGTCAACACACTCAACTAAATTCTTGAAGTTAGTCGATTTTTAACTCTATAGCTTAGTTTTAAAGTCGAATTTGCGTAAGTTGGTGAACTGGTATCTGTACGATCATATTTGCCGACAAAAGTATAATATTATATTGATGACATGATAACAATATACATATCGAATCCGAATGAACATAGAAAAGTTCAATATGAAGAGATGTTTTTCTTGAATTATAATCGCAAAATTGGAAGTAGAGAGAATGTTTATTAGTTTCTAATTTGTAGCTGATAATGTAGATCTAGCAATTATTGTATACAAGTCAGTTACTTTTTTTTGCCATCTTGAGTTAAAGGTTAGCAATGAAGTATAATATTTTAGTCATGATTATGTATGTAGCATTTACATTACTATTAATTGCAATAAAATGGGCAGTAGAGACTAGTTTGCTCAGGGAAACTAAAAAAAATAATGTTTAACTTTGGAATCATGGCAATATAATATATTATCTATATTTATCAATTCCTGTTTACAATATTGGCAGCTCATAAAAAGACAGAAACAAATAAAGAATAGCTATAAGTATAAGCTTTTATATCCACTAAACATATCGAAGACTTTTTATGAAACTGTAGATCTGATATTTTATACATTAGATTAGATTAGATACACAACATAGACTATTAATAGATATATACTTTAAATAAATAGGAACAACAAGTAAACACAGATCTATGCAAAATTAAAACACTTCATTTTAATTTAGAACAATTAATGTACCTTTCATATAATAAAAATAAATCTATGTGGTTGCTAAATATTAGTATGACACCTAAATAATTATAGTTCCTCCACAAAGCAGCTGATATAGAATCTCTACGCATTTACTTATTATCTTAATAATATTTTATGTACCTATATATTTTCATAATTATTATTTCGATTTAATTTTTAAGTATTTTGATATTATATAACTTAAATACTGACTTAATTTTTACGCATACACTTTATGTGTGTTGAACAGAAGGCCGTCCATTAAAGGCTGAGATCTTTACAAATATTACTGTATATTAATATTATTACGTTTTTCATAGCAACTGTAAGAAGTAATATAGATAAGATTTAGTTTTAAGGTGCAGCAACACTTGATTCCCATAAAACCTTAAAAAAGGATGAAATTTTGTTCTTTTTTAAGAATTAATTGATGTTTTGCCTTTGGTTTAAATGAATATTAATGGGAGATGCTAATTTGCTTTGCACATAGCTTTGTTTAACTACCGAAAGAGAAAGTGGCAAAGAGAAAAAAAATAGTACCTTTCTTTTGAAGAAAATGAATAAACTTAAGCAGTATATCTAAGCTGGTCTTAAAAGGGTCTGAGAATGAATCAAAATTAGTACAAATATCTTCCTCCAAATTATAGGCAGCTACACCTTATAAAATATTCGTTGTTGCAATGTGCATTGTAAGGTTTTGTATTAAAAACCAAATGATTTTTATATTTTAGTTATGATATATTATTTTGCACATTTGACAATATTTTTGTAGAACATTAGAATGTGTTCAAATGAAATCTCAAGGAAAAAGATAAATAACCAGATTATTTTTATATTTACGAATAAATTCGTATGTTTTGCTTTTATAAAACTTTTGTTCACTTTATTATATTTTAATATGAATTACTTATATTATATTCAACATGGAAATCGTAACACATTAATTGTAAAGTCAAATAAGTAACACAGTAATCAATTATTGCACAAGTTACTTTATTTTATTAAACATTTGTACATGTCGATATGTCAGAAGTATACATTGCTTGTTTGTATAATTTTATTATTGTATAAAATGAAATCAAAACTTTATATTACAATATCATGTATACATAATTGATGCATCACTGATATTTACATTATATTTTGAATTGAATTCACTCTTATTTGTAATATCAATCAAATGGAAAGATAATACTTTTATAATGCTGTTTCACAATGTCTGCAAGTTGTTGTTAATATAACTGACAAATATGTTGCGCACAGTCAATACGGAAACTACTTGATAGTTTCCTTCTGTTAGACTAAAGACAACTTATCAGACATTGTGAAATGGTCCTAAGTACTATGTATCAATGTAATATTAAAATACTGTGATTATTCTCGTCTCATTGTTATGCAATGTTGTATACATTACTCCACAAAAGAGGATGCATATTGCATAAATTGTTATATTTCAAGAAATAATGGAAATATTGTTTCCATTTCATTTTATTTTCTTTCCACATTCCAATGTTTCCAATTCCATGTGAAGTGAATGTTGATAATAATGTACCGTCCATTACAGTGCCTTTTGTAATATTTTTAATAAAATCTTTGCAATAGTTGCGAGTTTTATTCATTATGTTGTAGGTACTGCTCTTGTGTTGTACTAAAAGCAAATGTTTAGTTACGAATATTAATTTTAAATATACTGGCGGGAATTAAAATTAGACCATGCGTTGTTTATATGATTTTTATTAGTATTGTGGCTTATTTGATTCTTATTAAATAATTCAGAAGAAAATCGTAGTGGAGCAACGCTTTTTTTTCAATATAAATAATTATTTTAAATTTTTCCTGATGTTATTTAAGAAATACTTACGATACAGTAATAATTAATTATTGTTAAAATGTTCATTAATTTGAAATTTTCATGACAACAGTTTTGGTAGGTAAGTGGCCTGATTTTATTGCCCTTGAGTATACTAGAAGGAATGTAGTTAAACAAAATAAAATAGTACCTATTACATACTTGCTGAGTAGTATGAGCTGGTTTCTCAAGAATACTAGTACTATGATCAGTCCAAAGTAGATCGTGATGTATATGATCATGTATGATACGACGAGCATGCGGAACATTCCCATGCTGCGTCTGGGAGACACATTTTCTGCTTTCCCATATTTCACATATACATATTATTGACTGGTTTTTCCATTATTGTGGTGTTGTTACATTTTGTTTATATTATTTTCCATTTTGTTTGATTTATGTGTATGGTGTGATTGTTTGACACTGACAGTATAAATCAGTGTGACTTCGGAATGATTTTTACATGATATAGATAGAATAATGTATTAGTCTTTGTACAGATCTTTTACCAAGAAGATATAAAGTAGTTAGACGTTATTTCTGAGTTCGATGGGTACAAGATGGGCATTGAGATAAGTTAGATAGAAAACAAGTAATTTATTGTGTTTCCTTGTTCGATACAACGAAACTAGAGGGTAATGGATGATGCAACTTTGTTTTTCAGACTTCAACGTGATAATGCCAGTTCTAATTGCATCATTACTGAAATACGGAGACCGATACTGTTCTATTATGAAGAAGGAATGCTGTATAATAAATATGTTTCGTCATTCTCTATCACGGTTTAGTTACTCGATCATTCTATTAATGTTTGAATTGTAATACCTTTTTTCTTTTTCATGGTTTTTCCTACTCCATGGAACTAAGCTGGCTGCACGGCTGGCCACCACACAGTTCTTTTGTGATCCAAAAATTGTATACCTACAGGAAAAATCCTAGTGTAGGGCAGTTTGTTTGTCTTTAATTTGCACAAGTTGTTTGAGTATCTAGGTATCTATGTATTTTAAGTATGTGGGAAGGTATATTTAGTCAAACACATTCATCAATAATACGATACAAATACTATATTACACGAAAACATTAGATTTACGTTTCATTTTACTCAAACACAGATTAATTTTAAAAGCTGTAGTGCTTTTAAAATTTCGATTCATTTGGCAGCTTCTGTAGGTAAACAATGGGCGTCTTCAGGGACAGTCGAAAAGTTGCATCGCTTTTTATACGGCAAACACCAGAGAAGTTAAAAGTGAGTTGCCGACCATGCATGCATGAGGGTAGGATTAGACCTCCGGTGTCCTCTTTCCGTAGTAAGTATCGGTAACCTATAGAGGCTGAATGCTTGTGAACACAAGTGTCGTTTTACGCCGGTCGCATGTGAGGCTGTGGTATCACCCCAGTCGAAGCGTGGTTCTTCCACATGAATTGCTCCCCGAATGTTTGATTGATTACAAACTTCTGCTTCTTGTAACTTATTTATAATCGTATGTTATTAATGGTTCCTCGCTGTAAATAAAATGAAAAAGTAATTAGGTACCTACTTGTAAATAGTTAAAGTACCTACACAGTGGCTCATTATTCGACAAAAAGAGACCCCCACAGAATGTGTCCCTTCGTCCAGCATACTCACCATGGAATCCTGATATTTCATGAATGTCAAAAAACAGTTCTGAAATAGTGCTAAATAGTGCCCAAAGGAAAAAAATAGTGCTCTTGTACTTGCGAAGTTATAGCCATAGTTCGATGAGTATGCTGGACGAAGGTTTCGCCCAGCATACTCACCTCCGTCCGGAGAATCTGTATACGCTTCAAACATAATTCATACTTCAAAAAATAGTTCCCAAATAGTGCCAAACGGTGCCCAAAAAGAAAAAACAGTGCTCGAATAACTTCGGAGTTATAGGCTTCGTTCAGTGAGTATGCTGGGCGTAGGTTCTACGCCCAGCATACTCACCTCAGTGCGCGAATATCGAACGAGCTATAGGTACAATTTACGTCTCAAAAAATTGTGCTTGAAATAGTGCCCAATATCAGTCCAATTTTTGCTTGACTTTTGAC